TGAGCCACTTTAGAATACTAGCGACTGCCTGTGATGATATCAACCGGAAATTCTCAAGTTTCTTCTAGGGTCAAAAAACAAATGAGAGGAGATTACACTGGCTAAATTGGAATAAGCTCTGTCTAGTCAAATCTAAATGAGGTATGGGCTTTCGAAACCTAAAGCTTTTTAATTGGGCCCTACTTGGGAAAATGGCGTGGGGGCTACTAAATAGTCAAGATTCTTTGTGGGGAAAACTTTTTATATCTCTGTATTCAGCTAGATCACCACTACTAACTTCAAATTTCCCACCTTGTTCCTCCTGGCTTTGGCAAAGTATCACTTATGGTATAGAACTTAAAAACGGTCTCTATTGGCAAATCAGTTCTGGGGCCATAATACTTATTTGGGAAGACCCTTGGCTGCCTTCCTCTGAGGATTTTAAAATCCATTCCCCCAAATCCCAGAGATGTAAGGTCTCGAAAGTAAAGGATTTGATTTTGTGCAACCCACACTGTTGGAATCAGACAATGTTGACCAGTCTGTTCTCAACATCAAAGGTTGCATGTATCTTGGCTATATCGCTGAGTATGGAAGAGGAGGAAGATAAACTCATTTGGGCTTACTCAAAGGATGGTCAATACTCGGTGAAATCTAGTTTCCAAATTGCCTATAAGTTAAAATGAAGGAACAAGAAGGGTAGCCAATAACCGTATCGTAACACAAGCACCTCCATCTCTATGGAAGGAAGTTTGGTAGCTGGAAGTTCCTCCTAAAATTAAAAATTTCATTTGGCGGGTGTGCTGGCAGGCCATTGGTGTTGGTAAGGAGTTGAAATAGAGGCGAATTAAGGTTGATGGGTTATGCCCAAGGTGTGGGCAAGAGGAGGATGTGAAACACCTCCTTATAAGTTGTTCATTTGCGTAGGTTGTCTGGTTCCAATCCCCATTAGGCTTTATTTCTAAGAGTGTGGAATCCAAGAGCATAGGTATTTGGATCATGTTTTGGTTTCAAAAGACCAGCTACCCTGATGAAGATCCAGATACTTGGGCACCTCTGCAAGCAATCCTGTGCTAGCAAATTTGGAAGGCCAAGAATGATCTCATGTTTAAGGGAGAAAGCCAAGACCCGCTATCAGTAGTAAGGAAGAACACTAGTATGTGGAAGGAACTCTTACAACTTTCAGAACATTTGGAGCCAAAAACCAAAGCAAACAACAGATGGCACCCCCCTCCAAACCAATGGATGAAGGTGAATTTTGCTGCTAGCTTTGACGCATCCTCTGGGTGGGCGGGAATCGCCTGTGTCATAAGAAATCAGGAAGGGAAAGTTGTTGGTGCTCGAGGAGATCGAGTTCGTTGCCAATCAATTATTGATGTTGAAGGAAGAGTCATTCGGTTGGGCTACTGGGAAGCTCCAAAAGAAGGGCTAGATAGAATTTTGATGGAATCTGATTCTCTAGAAGCTATTTTAGCTGTCAACTCCAATAAACAATATGACTTTAACCCCCTAAAAAATGTATGGTCAGATATTTGTAGCATCTCAAGGCATTTTACCAAATTTAAAGTCCTCCACTGTGGTAGGAAGACAAATCGGGTAGCTCACCATTTAGCTCGTGCACCCCTTTCCCTCGGTTTTAATCTTTTGATGGCAAACCACTACTCTACTTGGTTTGGCCCATTTGAGTTCCTCTGTTTTGAAGATTTGTACCCCCCTTAATGTTATTTTAATAAAAAAATTTCAATCTCTATTATAAAAAAAAATCGATAAAGGGAAAATTCCTGATCAGTACCCTGCACTTTGGTTCGAGTGACAATTTGGTCCCCGAACTTCAAAATGCGACAATTCAGTATCCAAATTTTCAAAATGTGACAATCAAGTGCCCAAACTTTCAAAATGTGACAATCCGGTATTCACCATTAACTAGTCTGTTAATCAGCTGTTAAATGACATTTGAAAAGTCAAAAATTCCCTAAGAATGCCATCTAATTCTCTTTATCAACTATCCAAACATTGACAGTAAAATGAATAGCCCCAAATTCTAGATTCTTCTAAACAATCATCAACTTTTTTTAATAGAAGAGGCTAGGATTTGGGACAGTTCAGTTTTTTGTCAATGTTTGGACGATTGATAAAGAGAATCAGATGGCATTTGAAGAGCATTTTTGACTTTTCAAATGTCATTTAACGGCTGAATAATGGACTGATTAACGACAGGTACTGGATTATCACATTTTGAAAGTTTGGGTATTGGATTGTTGCATTTTAAAGTTTGGGGACCATATTGTCACTTGAGCCAAAGTACAAGGTATTGATCGGACTGGTTAACACCTGATTGATTCCAATTGATTGGTCAAACGCTTTTTCGGATATCATAACTTTTCCATATCATCACACAAACCCCGTGAACTATGATAGGTTTTGGGGCCAATAATGATGGACTTGGACTTTCAAAGTCATCATGATTTTATTTAGGGTAAATTTCTGAAACCTCCCTTTAAGTTCTTGACCATTGTTAAAATATCTATTAAAGTTTAGTAATTGCAATTATCTCCTTGAGCTTTCTTTTACAGTTGCAAGTGGACTCCTTTATAGAATCTTTGTAGATATTTTAAGTTTCTAAAATATCCATGCAGGTAATATTGAGTTTGGCTTCTATTGTAAAAAAAAAAAAATACAAACTCTATGAACAGCAAAAACAAAGAGAATTTAGAGTTGTAGCTTTACCTTTGAGTGATTGATATGAAGGGCAAATTTAGAAAATAAATCAATTTGAGAAAAGAGATTAGAAGGATTTGGGGCAGTGATTCATATGAAGAGAAAATTTAGAGAATAAACATTTTGATCAAAAGTAACCATATGAGTATTTTGGACATTTTTATGCCTCATGTTAGAGGATTCTAACAATGGGGGTCTACTTGCAACTGTGTCAAAAAAAATCAGGGGAGGTGATAAATTTCCCAACTTCAGGTTTTCAGCAATGGTCCAAAACTTAAGAGAAGGTTTTAGCATTTTACCCTTATTATGATATCGCATCATTAATGTTCGTGGTGTTCAAAGCAAAAATCCTGCAAGTACTCTGCATTCTGCCCATATGAACATCAAAAGAGCACATTGGGAACATACAAATACTCCCCATGAATACAAGATGCATGTATGGAAGATATTCTTGATGTATGGCTGGATTTCGTATTCTCATTTCAGCAGCCATGTGCGTATGGTGAGATGAAATCTTCTTCCATTCAATAGGCCCACGGGCTACTCCAATCCAATGGGCTCTAGATGATGGGCTATATTGGTGAGATTACTTACATCCTCCATTCTCATTGGTTTTTTTTAGGCTTCTTATTGGTTTCTATTGGTAAGAGTAGTATAAGATGCAAATACAAGTCTTAGTCTTAGATATATGTATATAACATTTTATAATTAGGAGTGTAAATGGTTCAAATTCGAATCGGATCAGGCAATATTTGAATTCGAATCCGAATAGAAAATTCGATTTGGTACCCGACGGATATTGAAAATTAGTACTCAAATTCGAATCCGATTAAATATTTGAATATTCGATTCCATTCGAATTTGACTAATTAATTATTTTAGGCAAGGTGCAAAGTATTGACACAAGCCGATAGGGCGTATTGGCCTGCATCGGTACTTTTTTTAGGTTTTATTTATTTTTTACAAAACCAGTTCATAGGGGTCGRTTTGAGGCCTGACTACCCTGTGAACCAGTGTCTTACCTGACACAACCCCTGGAGGGGCATATTGGGAAGCCATCCGCATGATACGTATCGATCGATATGTATCGATACTTTGAACCTTGATTTTAGGTAATTAATAAATATATAAATTATGTAAGACATTTAAATATTTTATATATTATATATAAGAATTAAATAATCAGTCAAATTCAGATATTTATCGAATTGAATCAGGTCATATCTGAATTCGATTCAATTATGTCAAATCTCGAATTCAAAATCAGATTTTCGAATACCATTGACCAAGGTTCAAAGTATCGACACATATCAACCCGTATCAGCCGATACGTATCATTCCGAGAYCCCTCCAATACGCCCCTACATTAGGTGTATCGGGGGTCTGACCGGTTCGGGGGGTGGAAGAGACCTAAACCGGCCCCCTTGAACTGGTTGAAAAAAAAAATGATGTTTATTTGTATCGATATTTCGAAACTTGCCGTTGACACTTGACACCCCATTTGTAATGTACATATTTGTATTTGCACTATTCTTAAACAAAATATGATGTTTCTCATCTGGGTTAAGAGCTGCCAATCTAAAAAGTTGGTTTGGCGAGTAACTGAAAAATCGGCATCACGTGATACAAGAAAATTTGGTGCTTGAAGAAGTGTTCTTTTGCTCTCCGCCTTCCACTCATCTTATGGCTAAAGCCTTAAATAGAGAGGGGCGTGTCATGAATCGTACGATCATGGAGTTTGATTTAACCGGAAGCACTGCACTAGACGTTGTCATATACTCAATGCTGTTTGTCCACTACCACACAATCTTCCTTCCATCGCATTTGTAGTCGTCTAAAGACAAAAGAGCCTCTTACACTTGGCAGGCACAAGGCACAACCGCTCCTAGTCTTACCAGAATCAACACTCAACAATGATGGAAAAGCAACTTGAAGACTTCAAAAAGGTTGTCCGGAAATATTAATAAGCTAGTTAAATAAAGTAAGGTAATACTTTCCTGCTCCTTTCATTGATTATCATACCATGTTAGGCAGAAATAAAAGCTTCTGTGCTGTGTAGTTGTATTGTGTTATGCCTACAAGTTTATACCCGAACAAATGTGCTCACGAGTCTTAGAAGTCAGACCCATCAATCTTATAATTTGACATTTGTAGGGCTAACAAGTCGCAACTCAAAAGTGACGCCGGTGCTTTGGCCAAACTAGGTCAAGGGTCCAACCGTCCAAGTAGTTCAGTGCCAGTGGATACTGGGAGGTGCTTTCCTTAGGTGGCTATGCAATGATGCAAAGTTGCAAACCAAGATGGGAAAAAATAAAAACACTTCCGGCTGCTCAATGATTCTATTACTTCCTCAATATGACCTTATTTCTTTTGCTTTCTCTTGTACAACAACAAACCTTTTTTTTCTTTCCTTGCTTTCTCTCAATTATAAAAGATTATAAATATTTATGTGTTATTTTGGTCTCTGTTAAGGTTTGGTGGGTAAACAGTATCAAAAACAACCCTTGCAAGCAAATGCCGAACTTCCTGCAGGCTTCCCAATGCTAGATCTTCATAATTGATCTTTCTCCCTCGCTTTGGTGCAAAACCCTTCTCCTTTCCCACTCTAATGCACTCAAAAATCCTGCACGCCTTCAGATACAACGCCAATGGGATAAAGACCTGAAAATCAAACTAATAGATTAAACCTGCCCATAAAGCCAATATGAACGCAAAACATAAATGAGATTACATTTTTAACCGTCGGCATACAAACATGATTGCGATTATACATACTCGTAAGGTACCTACTATTAAAAGCCTAGTATTAACGTACAGCCAAAAGCATGGGACCTACATACTGAGTAATGCAAGGCCAGACATGATTAGGAAGATCTAAGACCATCCACAACTTGGTGTGTTTATATTTTTTGGCTAATGCTCCGAGTAAAAAACAATAAAAAACACCATGTCCAAAACAAAGTTTTAACAAAGGCTCAACAACTGCTGGAGGATGTATATATCCCCAACACGTCACTGATATTGTGATATCTATTAATGATGAGAAATGGGATTCTATGACAAATTTGATAACAGGGTTGCTTTAATGCATGTGAGATCGCTTTATCAATAAGATTTATTTATGATGATTTTGGTTTTTCATTTTCTTTTTTTTTTCTTTGTGGGGGGGGGGGGGAATAGAGGTTTGGATGTTTACCAGATCTGAGTATGGTGCCTGAGGGTACTCTGCCATTGCTTGGGAGACAAATGACTCATCTGTCATCATACTCAATGCAGCTTTCACTGATGCTGCCAGGTCAACAACAGCATCCATCAATGCCTCATCTGAAATCGATGTCTGAGGTTCTGATAATTCAAAGAAGCTTAGATCGTGTGGTTGCGAGATCCTTCTTGCAATGTTTACTGCTTCTAAAAGATCTCCACCACTGTGAACAGCAAGGGCAAAGGTAGCAACAACCAAAGGATCCCTGGGTTGATCCACCAGTGCCTTATGGAATGCCAAGATCACAACCCTGCGAGTGTAACAACAGTAATCAGCATGTAGAAACTTCCTATGATGTATGAAAGAGTGTCATCAAGTTACTTGCTATGATATGATGAGCAACTGTGCTACCTAGGTCACTGTCTTGTCATTTATCTACATTCCTAACAAATTTGGTTCATGAAAAGAAATATCTAATGCTATGAAGGTACACATCATCCCCAAAATTTCTAGGTCATCCATAAACAGAAACTTATCATGGACTTAAAAAAGGGAAACCCGGATTTTTTTATCAGTAAGTAATCAGAAGTTTTATTGATATGAAAATGTGATAGAGCACCTCTTGCTTTGGGCTAGCCCCTGCTACAATATAATGCTGGGAGACAACCCTCCAATACAATAATTCCTATTCCCCCTTGTCTTGCAAGGCATCTACTATGAAATTAGCTGATTTTTGAACCCAGATGAAAATATTCTCAACTTAGACTAGACTAGATGATTGAACCACTTGGTCTACGACTGGATGGAGTTTTCGGTTTTTAGGAACCTTAGTTTTCATTTTTTTTTCTCAAAACCTAGTAAATCCATGATTGGACCATACAATTTTTTTTGGATCAATAACAATAAGATTCATTAATTTAGAACAAGATTACAGAAGAGGGGAGCTAAAATGTTTTAACTCCCCAAAATGCCAACATACACCCAAAACAAGATTACAGAGAATTTGCACTTCTCTTTACCCATGTGCATTGAACTTCAATGTCCTTAGTCAGCTATTTAAATTTCCTCTTTTCATTGCCGTAGTTCCAAAGCCTAGAGTTGTCTTCTTTTAGCCAGCTCACTACAGTCTCCGAATCTCCTTCTATGATCGGTTTATTGATATTAAGATCTTTAGCCCTTTGTAACTCTTCCAGAGCTGCTAATATCTCAGCCAAAGATTAAAATATCGATACGATATGTCCGATACGGGGCGTATCATATCGGTATCGGTTAGTAACGGTATGGGATACGCTACGAATACAAGCGTATCCCGTCAATCGTTCGTATCGAATGGATACGGATACATATCGGCCTGTATCGCATTGTATCGGCCAATACACAGCGATACGGGCCGATACACACAATACACACTGCGTCCATTAGTAATCAGTCTCCTTAAAAATGCGAATGAGGTGATTCGAAGTTAGGTCACCTCACACACGTCTAGAAGTCGTTGCATTTCCAAACCAATAAGCCACGCTTGATTTCGTGAAATAAAGTAAAATAAAATAAATTTTATTAACTTTTTCCTGTTCACATGCGATTTAAATAAAAAAAAAAACACATTTATCTTTAACAACTCTAACTAAAAATTAAAAAAATAGTATTTTATAAACTAATAGAATAAATAATGTATCAAATCCACATTTATATAAAAAAATGATTTTATACAAATAGAATATTAATAAAAGAATAATTATTTTAATACTTAAAATTTATAAATTTGCACATGATATAAATCTTAAAATTTTTATATACTTTTATTAGTTATTAATTAATAATTTAATTTACATTAATAAGTAATAACTACATATTTATTATTTACAAAAAAATAAAAATATTATATACAAAATATTGAAGAATATAATATTAAATTGAATATTTCAAATCCACTAATCTACATTTATTTCAAAAAATGATTTTTTATTTCATAAAATTTATTTAAATAAAAATATTAATAATGGAATACTTATTTTAGTAATTAAAAAACTATGAATTTGTATATGATATGCATCTAAAAAATTTTAACAAATTTGATATACTTTAAGTTAAGATGATATTTTTAAAAATTATTAATTGATATTTTGATTTGCACTTGAAAATTTAGCATTTAGTTGACTTTTTCTTAATATTAAAAATTAAAATAGTAAAATAAAAAATAATTGGTATAATAATTAAAACATAATAGGTGCATATGTTTGGTGTCTTGGACTCTTGATTGATGCACTATATATAAAATTATGCATCACGGTTCATGAATTGTAATATATTTCTTCATATATATCCTTAATATTTACATTTTTTTATGTATTTATATGCTATTGTGTGATAATTTTGATATTAAATTTAGTGTTATTAATATATTTATGAAATTTGTATGTATTCCCCTAGCGTATTCATGTGTTTCCATCTTTTTCATTTGTATCCATACGTTTCAAAAGCATATCCGTATCTGTATCCATATCCGAGTTGTCTGATATGATACCCGATACCGATACTTTAATCCTTGATCTCAGTTCACTACAGTTTCCTTCTGAGATACTCTTTTGGTTACAGGACATATGCCATCTCTCCACAAGGACAACACCATCCATTGTCTCCATTGTCTCAGCAGTAGAAAGAATTACTTCATCTTCTCCAATCTCCAGCACTGCCTTTCTATTGTCAAAAGGCCTAAGGATTGAAAAGGCCTTCAAGTTAAGTTTTTTTAACTATCACACCCAATATTATCCTCCAATCTTCATGTGGCTGTTAATATCAATCTTTATCCACAGACTCCATTCTTCACATCCAACAACAGCTTCTGGTTTCTGGTTAAACTTACTACCATTACTTGTGGAGCTATGCCTTCAGAGTCTCCTTCTTTCATTAACGCTCTTGTTCAAACTCATGTTGTCCAAGCTTCTCTCATTGCAAGTGCCTTACTCTGTTATTAATCTACTTTGCTTTTTACCTTGATCCTCTTCCAGCTTAACTAAGATCTCCTGTAACTTATCTGAGAATAGCTTCCATCCTTTTATCTTCCCACCCTCCAGAACACAAAGCATCTGTTTCCTGTTATCCCCAAAGAATTCCGCCAAAGCAACACACCATCCTTTTCCATTCCTCTTCATCTCTACTTCATACTTCTTAGTGAGTGTCCCCAACGAGCTTCTCCAGCCCTGTTTCTTGACAGAATTAATCGCCCCATCCATGAAACCTTTTGTCCATCTGATGGCTTCTCCAACTATGAATACCGTGGCTATTTTCTCTTCTTTGATCTTCACTGAATAACTTCCCTGTTTCCCCCTTCTTCAAACACAAATTTCTTAGCTTCAATCTCCATTTCACTTTTTACCAGAGAGAAGGTTGTTCCTCAATATATGAACATATTAAAATCAAAAGTTTGTGTAATGGCATGCACATTAATGCCTCTCTGAATCGAAGTAATTACAGGGAAGGCACAACTATTGGAAACAATAGTGTCATATTTACTCAAAAGAAATATAAAATATAGTTGTTTTATGATCTTGCTCAAGATAGAGCACTAAGGCTCAAGAATATAAGAAATAATGATGATATGAATGACCAACTCTCTTCTGCAACCAAACACAGCAGGTTTGTCTCTCCAATACACAAACAGTGGCTTCTCATATTTTCATTTGGTATCTTTTCCTAGTCATCAATATTTTGATTGGTAACCATTCATATTCTTTTCCTTGGGCTGTTGTGCTTTCTCATGGTTGACTCCAGCAAAAAAGTGTAAGAATAAAATCTAGATAAATAAAGAGAAGCCCATGGCTGTTGTGCTTTCTCATGGCTGTTGTGCTTCCCTACAAGAGAAGCCCATAACCGAAAATCGATTGTAAACCATATCTCTGTGAATTTCCCCTTTTATCTGCCTAAGAATAAAATCTAGATAAATAAAGACAGTTTTATTATAATAAAGGGATTTACAGTTAACCAGGTTAGATTGTGACCAAACAATTGACCTGGGATCAAGTTCCTTTTAGAGTTGGTGAACAATCTGATTTTAACATTGGTTGACAGTAACCCAGTTCATGAGAAGTCCTGACTCTATTAGTAGTATCTTTTTTTATCAGCACTCTGTTAGTAGTATCTTCACTATTGCATGTAGGAATGCTCTAAACTATTAAACACCATATAATTAATTTGACTTACAAAGTCTTACTATTGCAGACTTCTCTTAACATCATTTCACAGGATTTCCTAGTACTTCAACGCTGGTACCCTAATTTTCTCTGATTAAAACTCTCAACAAACAAAAAGAAGAAAGAACAAAAACACAAAATAAAAAGAGAGAAACTGAAATCTAGGTCCATGAAACCTTGTCTTTATAACGTTTACATTCATATCTTGTCATTGCATTATTTTTCTCCCTCAAAAAGAAACCACCCAAAGCTACTGATATAACCACTGAAAGTGAAACAAGTCAGATGATTAATAACTAGAAAAGGCACAATATAAAAAACACTTTTTTAAATCAATATAAGAAGATGATACCTTGGCTCATCCCAAAAAGGAGAGTCAAACAGTTTAATTGCCTGAACGTTCAAAAGGAAGGTGCAGTTCCTTCATTAATGTAGCCAATCTTAACAAGTTGAAATGGAAGAATACACCAGATAGAATAGCATATATAGTATGGCTATTTTCTGGTGAAGGGCCAATCCTAGGATGCAAACCTTGGGCTTGGGTACCAACCCAGGTCCAACCCAAGCTTAACCCAACACAACTCTTGCCAGGCTTCACTTTGAGTAGGGTCAAGTCAGGCCTGGGTAGGTTTTGCGATTGAAAGAATTTGTGAATATATTTTTGTACAGCCATCTTTTTTTTTCATTTTTTTTTGGGGGGGGGGGGGGGATTGGGATTATAGCCCAACTTGGGAGTAGCATGGATCAATGGATTGAAACTACATACAAAATTCATTAACAAATGTACATATTTTATATGCATATAATTAGAAAAAGATATATAAATAAAATGCATATATGTATTTGTTTGGAAAGACTTGGGTTGGGTCGGGTTTGGGCTACATGAGACCTCAATCCAAGCCCAACCCAAGTTTAGACAAGGGCTGACTTTTCTAACCCAGGTGGAGCCCACAGCATGAGGTTCAAAAATTCAGGCTCAACCTGTGCAGGCTYGGCTAGGGACCACTCAAGTAGTCAAGTTGCAACCCTACACTTGGTACACCACAAAAAATGTGCATTACATGGTTGGCAAAGTACTTACCATAAACTACTGTGGCATGGCCTGTCAGGTGCCAGAAGTCTATCCAAGTTGGAAAACAAAGACTGCAACAAAAATAATATAAAAATAAATACATAACAACATGATACATCAATGACATGCTACACCTTGTATGGCAAACCAAAGTCATAAGGCCTTCAAAGTGGAATCCAGGAGACAACATTTTTACTTCACTAGTGCAATAATTTTGATGATAAAGCCAAAGGAAAAATCATTAAAAAATGTTACATCAACTGATTATATCAGAGAATCTTTATTACAGATAAAAAAGAGTAAAACCAGATCAATGAATAAGCCAAGAAAAGAAAAATTGTTGATCAGCAAAAATCATCATGTTTCATTAGTGTGATTAAAGGAAATCATGGCATTACCGAAATGGTTTGCACAAGAGAGACAAGTATAAAGAAACAGCCCTAGCTGATCAGCCTGACCTATAGATGAACAACATTTGGAAAACAAAAATCAAAATTATAATTTCAAACCCGGACCTTGGGTTCCCCAACTCATCTCATACTTGGGTACTCCCCACCCCTAAACTAGGTACAATTAGGTTATTAGCAACTGTAGTGATCAATGTAAACAAGAAGTTCATGTTAGATTCTAGAGCTTTTACCTTTCTTGTCATATCAAATGTCTGAATAGCCACGGGCTATCAGTCCTTGAAGTAGAGCAAGAAGCTCAAGATCTATATATTACAACCTGGCAGTCACCTTCCATGAGCATATACATGGCTTATATGCAACACTTTTTTTTCTTTTTTTTATTGGAAATGGTAACTTTCATTAGACTTTATAATTAATCATGTACACTGTCAACTATTCAGAATAYGAGTGTTAACCCCAAACAACTTTAATTCTTTTTCTTTTTTATTTCTTTTGAAGGGCTACACAACGGAGGGTAGCCCATCCCCCAACCCAGGTGCAAGCGGGATTCGATCCCAAGTCTCCACTACAATCAGCAGGAGACCTTACCAAACAACTTCAATTCTTACAACACTTTTTTGCTTATTCAAGATACTATATTTTATTTCCTAATTGGATGGTTACAGCACTTAGTACATCCTATGTTAGCAAAATTAGAGGATCGTAACCATTTATTTTCTGAATTAAAATTTTCAGTTGCTCAGCAATAGGCTTTGTGAAAAATAAAAAAAATACATATGAATACAGCAGGTATTGGAGGTGAGACATGATCCAAGATTTGGAGTCCAAACACCCTCTCTCATGGGCAAAAATGAAGGTTTCAAAAATCAGCGAGTTTAAAATGAAGAAATTAAGTTTGAACGGTTCAAACGATTTCAGGTATAAGCATGCAAGAGATTCATGATTGACCGGATCATTAAGGATATTGAAAAGAAAGTGTAATTCAATTATTTATCAAAAAAGAAAAAAAAGAAAGTGTAATTCTCTCTCAAGGGCCAATATATTCTTGATAGACAGCTCCCTCTGAAAATAACAAAAAGATAAGGATAAAAAGGATTTAGTTGAGCTATGATGGATTACCGTAAGATGCTCTTGTTTCAAGTTTCTTTTCCTGGAGGGGGTGGGGGTTGTCATAAAGGAGCACTTTGGGATCCCGTTGCTTGGTTGTACTTTTCATGCCAAGTCGATTCCTATTTAAAATTCTCGAGTCTTAAACTATCTAAAAGGGGCTTGAGACAGACAAAGATAAACACATAATTCATCTTGTTGTCTTTTTTGGACTTTGTCAAAAGCTAGTGGATTTACCAAGAAACCAAAGCTTTTCTGGAGGGATTGAATTTGGCCTTATATGACTATGTTGACATTTTCCAAATGAAAAGGAGAATAGAGCTACAGCCCCTGTGAATGGATCATCACTAGATTTTTATCTCTTAAAATGTTTTTTTTTTTTGAGAAAAAGAGTAACTTTATTAAAGTGAAAAAAAAAGAGTACACGAGATGATGTACAGAAGGCTAGTCTCACACAGGTTACAAAGGCATTATACTATCACTATAAAAGTTTTCCCTGTGAGCACCAGATTTGGCTAAATTATCTGCTACAGAATTTAAAGTCCTGGGAATCCAGATTAAAAGCTGCATTCAAGAAGTATAACAGATCTCTAGCCTTGTCTAGGTAGTGAGCCAGTCTCCAAGGTCCTCCTTCCTTCTCCCTAAGCCACTTTATTGTGTTGCTAGAGTCACCTTTGACCACCAGGTTGGTCAGGCCWGGCCTTCTTGTGATACGGAGGCCATTTAGCACTGCTGGGACTTCAGCCGTTGTAGAGTGTGCAGTCCTTATTGGTCCACTAAAGAACCACAAAGGACTACCATCTCTCCTCTTAAAATGTCCAAAATAGTGCCTCGTGTGGATAAGTATATTAGTTTATTTTATGAGTTTTAATGCAAATAGACCTAAAACATGGAATCTGCAAAATGGTGAATCCAACATCCAGAATCTTGTGTCAGATTGATGCAAGTACTTATAAGAAGATTTTAAGCAAATCTCAAAGAAAGAAACTGAAGAAAAGGGTCAAATAGTAGACCTGCAGAATGCATCGTCAACTGAAAAAGAAGTGACTGTTTGACCAGTCAAACACTCAAACCTTGTTTTATTTGGCTTAAATTTGGTGGCATTAAAGTATTCAATAGAATTCTAATATTTAGAATTTCAGTTTAATCCAACATGTGGAAGTGTCCCAACTAAAGACTTTAAGTTGGTTGATTTTGGGGGTCTGCAAGTCAAAGGTCAAAGTCCTAGTCAACAAGTTGACCAGCATTTATAGTAATTCCCATCATTGATATTTACAGTAATTGTTGTCGTTACCATTTATAGTAAAAGACACCTTACTACTTTTAGTAATTTCTGGTTACTTGTATTTTGTAGGAATAGAGAGCTTTGGTGTCCCAGTTTGAAAGGGAAGTTTCTATTTTCTATTTTTCTTGTTTGAAGTTTGAGTACAAGTAGGGGTTAGAGTCCAAATAGGAGTTGGAACTGCAAATTTGCGTCTATAAAAGAGCGTTCACACGCCTTGTAGAGAACAATCCATTCTATTCAATTGTTACATTTCTCTTGAGGGCTGAATAAGGAATTCTTTTTCTGTTTCTACCATAGCTGGCAACTATAGTAAGCTTATTCTTGCTTACTCTTTTATTTTCTGTTCTTTGTTTGCTTGTTAATACCTGTGGCTGAAGCTCTATTGTTACGCATTGGAAATTCTGTGCTTCAATAACCTCATCTTCCACTTTCAATTATCAAACAAGGGTCCTCTTGTGGCTGAAGCACTTGCTAAACAAAGGTCCTCTAGGGAAGTGTTATTTTGGGCAGCATGTAATTTTCATTCTTGTTTTCCTGTAATGTTTAGGAGAGGCTGCACCTTGCACCCCTCCAAGGGATGCTTCTAACAGTTTATTCTCTTTGATTAATGAAATTATCTTTCAATTAAAAAAAAAACATATTCCACTTTTGGTAAACAAAAATGACTCAAAAGGACTTAATAGGCATTGCAACAGTCTATTCCGCTACTGGACACTGAATCATGAGATGCATTTAGGGGCACAAATTGACCCAGACCCTTGGGCAAGATGCAAGCAAGAATTGTGGGATACGAAACTTACAGGCAAGTAACTATCATAAAAAAAAAATGCAACAAGAAGATTTTAAACAGTAAGTTTGCACTTACAAGAAGCATGTTAGTTCGTTTATCACGTCTCCGAAAACCTTGGGAAACAAAATATGCTGCCTGCATGGTGCAGCCATATTACATGATTCACAAAAAAGAATGGTAGCAAAAAGCTAAATAATCCAACATAGAGACTGATTAAGAGGATGGAAATATCTCTACTTGAATAGGTAGCAGTATCTCTAGGAGACCAAATTTCCACAGTAACCTAAAAGATGCTTCTGCGGACCCAAATGCCAGCATATAATTCATTTCCATGAGGATCCTTCCCTAAAGCAAATGAAACCGACAGAAGTCAGGGCCAGATGTAAATTTAATGGAACTCAAGACTCGGGTGCATAGTTAAACTGAAAGAATAAGAACTGGAACTATGAATACCTTGTCCAGTTTCAGCACCGAAGAAGACAAATCTTTCACAGAATGTGCTGTCTCCCTTGTAAAACGGAATCCTAGACGAGCTGCAATTCTGACAGCACGTAGGATGCGAGCTGTGGAATTAGTATTTATTGGGGGTTAGATGCCACTCTTTTGGCAAGTTGTAGACAATGCAGACACAATAGGCCAGCTGCATGAAATAACAGAGGAGGACTTACCACAATCCTCCTGGAAAGAGTTAGTAGCAGGAATTATGGTCCGAACCTGTTGACAAAGCACAGAAAAGATGAACAAGAATTTGATGCACAAAGGCTTAACCACTTTCAATGGAATTGAAATTGTAAAAAGGGTTACATGCACACTTTAGCTTTTTTTAAGTCTTCCATGCCTCCCATGTAATCATACACTATATTTGCGTAAGGATCAAACATCAACCTGTTAAGACAAGATGGAATTTAAGGTTACATTAAAAAATACATCTACATTTACAATGAAACAAGAATTTCTTATTTAAAATGAATGATGGGATTGTGAGGGGTAAATTATAGTTAAAATAAATTATGGCTCCATGCCCAAGTTATGAATCAGTGACCCGTTAATTGTGAAGTCCCGCTGCAAACAATTTCTCCAACGAACAAAGTCATGCTCATCACAGCCAGGAGGTCTTTTGAAGAAATAACTGAAGTCCCTATTACACTTTCTTCCAGATGTGCTAAAACTTGATACCTATTCCAGGTGAGAATCCCAGTTATAATCTTTAAAACCTAAATATTAATATTGAGACAACCATTACATTTTTCTGGGGGTCAATTCTCTATCAAGAAAAAAAAATAGCAAGGATCTGTAAATTGAACAAAGACAACAAACCTCCACAATGGTATCATCAATGTGAACATGACAAATGGGAAACCGTCTCCCAACTATTTCACATCGTGAAAATGTTCTCATTACCTGCAAGAATTATCAAAAGTTAATCCTGGTTGGTTAAAATTCATGAAGAAATACAAGGTCCTCCTATAGAGCTTAAAGTTCATCATAAATAAGCTTCTTTTCTCCCCTTATTTGGATTGGTAAATAGATAAAAGATATATTAAAAGTGATAAAGGTATACAACATTTATACTGAGCAAGCTGCTAAGGAAAAGGAAAAACAGAAAAAGAAATAAAGGTGGCAGGTGAGAACACCTTCCCTATGTCCTACCCAACCTGGCCCCCAAGCTTGCCCCCCCCCTTCCGCATATTCTATTAACTAGTTTAACTCCTTCCCTGGCTAGGGAGTCAGGCCTCTTCTTTGCAGATATTGGCATTTGGCAAGCTTTTGATTCTCTAATCATAAAATTTCAATATACATTGAAGCAATTTTCTACCTTGGCCCTCAATCAAAACTCATGGTTTATCTTTGCTTTATAGAAAATCAACTGATTCTACCAAGAACTGGTCCCTCAGCTAACCAAATCCAAGTTCAGAAAGTAAAAGGTTTTCCTGTAAGTTTTGAATGTACATTTTATTTTTTTCAAGCACTTTGTTAAAACTTCAATTCAGAAAAACAAATTCTATCATATTATGAATCCTAGGAACTGAGGGAAAAATGATGAAAATACCAATAAAGTATTGTGGTTGTGCATCTTCAAATACGAATGGTCTGCAGAGCCTTGTGAAATAGAGATATTATCCAAAATTTCAATACAGTTACAGTTTGATTATCGATCACAACATAAATCTATTCTAACTATCAAACTAACTGCTTTGTAATGTTGTAGTTATCTAAAAAGTGAACACAAAAATAGGTAAAAAAGAGCAAACCTCTCTAAGTTCAGCTGAAGTTATAATGTCAAAGTCCTTAGGAGTCCGCTGCAGAATGAGATCCCTCACACAGCCACCAACAAGGTAGACTTCATATCCTACATGATGAAGAATTCAAATATGTTAAAGAGACACAAAAGAACATAAGTGAGGAGATGAAAGAGAARGAAATGCTGAGGTGTGTTTGGATCCAGGTGGAAATAGAAATTTAAGTTTAAGTGGGGAGTCAATTCCACTACACATGTTTCTGTTTTCGCTCTTTGGTTCTAATTTCTTAACAGAGTGAAATTCAGGAACTAGAGGAATTTTCTGATGTAAAGTAACTTTTAAGCCCTCAATTCCACGTTTTTGAGAAATTTGAAAGTCCATGGGGGAGGCATCAGAATCCATAGAATTGAAATGAGAGAAGAACCCAATGCTATTTCTATTTCCACAATTTAAAGACTAGGGAGGCCAGCTATGCACCCAGTGCACCCTCTGAACACCAGCATTTGGATAAGAGTCTTTGGGATGCTCTCCATTCAACAAATAAAGGAACTATAGGTGATCATTATAATTATTTAAACAAAGCTGTAAGGCAGCAAGAGAAGACCACAGTGCATTGGCACTCAGACAGCACTTAATGACAACCCAGAAGTGTTACCTTGGCATGTGGAATGGACGCAAGTACTCAAGTGTCCATATGTGTCCAGGACATCACATCAACCTCCAAAGATCACAGTAGAGAGACATGGCATTGGTACTATATAGATATTTAGCAACTGAAGTTTAAAATACTGTATGAATGAGAAAATTAATAAAAAAACTATCAATAAGCAAGATCAAATTTTTATTATTTATAGGATGTGCCCTTTCTCATGAAAGTGCTAAGTAGTAAGTACCATGCTTTTCTGCTGACTTCAGCTAGGTGCATCATTAAGATGTCACGGGGAGTTTCTTGCAAATTGCCAAGCTTTGCATGGCTAGACCCACTAGTGTTGAGCTATATTAGTAACGCTGACCCAAAGAAGCTGCGTCATTCCATTCTTACACAATTTATTTCAATTGTACTAGGTTAAAAGGAAAAAAAAAAATACTGCTAGATACGTTCAATATTCAAGTTCAAAACAAGGTTGGGATGAAAGGGCAAAGCGGCAGGTAAAGATTACTTGTGCAGCACCCTTTTCTCTCTACGCTGAGGCGTGCTACACCTAGCCCCCTAGTAAGTGCCTAATGGCCCAGGCAACACTTTAACAACCATGAGTTTAGGAGATTCCTTAAACTCTTTGTTACCAGCATCACGTTTTAGATTGTAAAGTCAATTGGCAGGAAGCAAGGCACCAGTTGTTTGATTTCATTTTCAAACATTTTTGAGATGCGGACCGTTTTTTTAGGGTAAATCGTGAAATTTTAGTCAGTATAGACAACCATTACAATAAAACTGTTGTGAGGAGAACGTTATGTACCTTTTCTTCTTAGGCCATTTAGAACCACTCTCGTCGGCTTTGCAATCATTGACGTGGTGATTCCGAGATCTTTAGAATTCAACGTCTTCCAACCTGGACCATTAGCATTATTGTTTTATTTGTTTACTACACCGGCGCAAAAGTTACAGGCTTATAAAAAATGAGAATTGAAATAAGCAAAATACACCCTAAACTCCTAAGAACGCTTTCACCCAGAAAATCCCAGTTAATTATAAAGTAGAGAACTTGCTCACCTATTTCATGAAAACTGATAAGCTCATGATTTTCGCCCTTGACGAGTTCCTTGGGTTGGGAGAGAGTCTCAACCGCTGCAACAGAGCTGCGTCGAACCTGTGAAAAGAAGAGTACTACTAGTCAAAAATCAAAACAAAGAGCTAGCTCAAATCCAGCACTAAAGATGACTCAGGTTAGCTATAGTTTCCGATAAAAAGATAACCTTGCGAAAGCAGCAAATCAAAGGACGAAAAGGCAAATAACTTCTGCATGCAAATCCAAGGCCTGCGATTGCCATTTACAGTGGGGAGCTTCACCATGTCACGAGAAAAAAAGTGGAAGTGACATAAACCCTATTCAGTACGCCGGTCTGAATACGTTTTGAAATGTGACGGTGGAATGTTTGATTCATTGGCCTAGAGATGGCGGCATCGGTTGCTGTAGTTTTGTAGAAGCTGTGACCAAACCCAAACGCCAAGCTCTCTGACTCTCTGAGGATTTTTATTTGGCAAGAGTCTAGAATCTATAGTATCTCAAGTCTCAACTATCACTCTTATCGGGATGAACTGATGAGGCACACCGCACACCGTAACCATCATGGACCAAAGTTTGTAAGTAGGGCTGCAACTTGGTCGGGTTGGACCGGGATTAGGTCAACCCTGGCCCAACGCTAAATGTGAAATTAGGGCCCCGAGTAGAGCCCGATCTTGTATGCCGGAGCCCAGCCCGCCGTAAACCCATACACTTTCAGGTCTGTGTCGGTCCGGGCTTGAGCTATTTACTTTTTGTCATAAGAAAGAAAATTAACTTTGCTTGAATTATTCAATGCTTGTTTTATATAAATATAGATAGACAAGACGTAAAGGTTCAGATCTAGTATGTTGTTTATATATGATCTAGGCCATGTTTATACGATCATCCAACCATTCAAGTTGAACCTTAGATAAGGTAGGGTTAGGCTATCAATGCCTTCACCTATGGGTGTCAATTGGATTGGATTTGGTCCAATCTGATCCAGTCCGATGTGAGTTCATTATAAATGGATCAGGTCTAATCCAATCTAATAAATATTTTGAATCATTTTGGATCCGTCTAATTCAATGTTTAGACTATCTAGTTTATTCAAATTTGTTTTGATTTAGATTGGTTTCAACTCAAATCTGGTTTATCGATACTTACATTCTTATCTTATATCAATGGACCAGATATTGACTTAATCAGTTAATCCAACCCAATCCAATATAAATTTATTATGAACGGATCAGGTCCAATCCAATGTCTTGTTGGTCCATCCAATCCGTCCAAATTGATTTTTAGACTATACGGGATCCAATCCAAAAACGATACATTGACACCTTTACCTTCACCTGAGCCCGACCCAATATTTTGTTATAAGCCCAACCTATATATATATATATATAAATGTTAGGCTGAGCTGGAGTTAGATTGGACCTGTTTAAGTTGCTATGCTATTAATTATTGGGGCAAATGTTTTCTAGAAAACACTTGTCTAAATAAGTGTACTTACTAATTCTTTTGTTTATCGTGTAAATGTATATAATGACATAATGACAGTTTTGTCTATAAAAGTATTATTATTTATATGCAATAACCTCAACAAACATTCATAATTCAAAAAAAAAAAAAAAGCTTCTGACAATTCAAATTTTAGAACTATTTTCTTGGAATTCTTTGCTTTTGAGAAATCAAAATTCAGATTTATTCAACAGCACATAAAGGCTCAGTTTAGAAAGAGTGCAAATACAAATACATACAAAATACAATCAAGGTTTTGCACTCTACATATTTGTATTTGTACTCCTTCCAAGTTGAGTCCTATATAGAGTGCAAATCCTTGTATTTTATATATATTTGTACTGTATATATTTGTATTTGTATTCCTTTCAAACCGAGCTTTTATGTACATATTTGTATTATTAAGTTCGATTCAAAAGGATACAAATACAAATACGTAAAGTAAAAAACCTTGTATTTTGCATTGATTTGTATGTATTTGTACCATTCTCTTCCCAAACTGAGCCTAAGGGTGTGTTTGGTTGCAATGCAAACACAAATATGTACACTGCATATTTACCCTTTTTTTGGTTCATGAATGCAAACACTATTCAGATTTTAAACTGTTTTTGCACCCATCTTGTTTATTTGAAATCGGTGCTAGTGTGGGCCCCATCATTAAATGCTCCAACTACCTTATGCTCCAATGCCTTGACTTTAGTTAAAAAGTTGATTATCAAAATAATACAAAATTGTATTAAAAAAATAGGTACAACAATGCTCTCTTTTAAGAGTACAAAAATGTCAGAAAAATACCATGGTTTTGAAAACCGGACCAGACTGGAAAATTTGGGAGCCGGTCAAGTGACCGGTTCCGTTTTCCTAAAAAATCGGATTTCCCCCAAAATCGTTAATTTTGGTCAGCAAACCGTTGAACCGGGCGATTAACCGTTCGAACAGGTTTGACTGTTTTTTATTTTTTTATTTTTTGTCAGAATGGGCTGAGCATTCGGTTTGAATGATCAAACCGTTCAACCCGATAATTGGACCCCTGACAGGTTCGATCTCTAGGTCGATTTTAAAAACTATGAAAAATACATTTTTGATTTGATGATCATTACTTTTTTATATATCAAACAAACATTTGCAAAATGCAAACCACAGTACATAAGTACCTTGATTCGACATTTGTATTATAAACAAACGGAGCTAAGTACAAAAATGCTATGGTGCTCAAACTTGTTAAATAAGAATGAAGGCTGGGGGCTGCAAAATGAATGGAGTCAAATTTGGACAGAAGCTATATGAGTTGATGAACTTGGTAAGAATCTGGGATACCGAAATTCAATTAGATATGTGACTGATGCATGTGAAGCATAGATTTAAATTCAAATTTTGAAACTCAATTAGCTTGTACGAAATTAGCACAAATTTGAATACAAGAAACTATATATGGTGAATGGATAGAAATAAGTCTCTAAATCACAAATACCACTTAATCCTAGAACTTCTAACTAAAACTATTAGAAAAAAAAAATATATGCATATAAACACACATATAAAGAATATTTGAAATTGATTCCATCAATAAGTGATCAAGTTTCCAAATATGATCAGACCCAATTATAATTAAATGGGTATCCAAATCTGACTACTTGAACAAATCTAATTCAAATTGCATTAAATTAGATCCATTTTCAAACTTGACATGTCTTGTTCTAAGGCGTATCCAACCAATGAAAATTCATCAAAATTTATGATTAAAACCACCCCTAGTAATTAATTTTGATGATTTTTCATTGATTAATTAATATACACTTTAGCCTTACTTTGTCAACAAAATCAATCTATCGCAACATTTTCTTGCATTTTCAAATACAGAAATCATACTGACAGGTCAGATATATCTATAGCCCAAGTGTTGGTCTCGTTTGAAGGAGGATAAACGGAGAGCTTATCAAGCAAATAATTTCAAAATAACCCAGCTGGATCTTGGATATGTATAGCTGGTAGTTTGTATGATATAGTTTGACTTCTTCAATTTGTATGTCTATTTGATTCCTTTACTAGTAAAAAGTTTGGGAAAGTTGGTCAAGTATTTTTTTTTATATTAACCAATTTTATAATTTTTTTTTTGCATTTATTAATAAACCCCATTGAAAAATAAGGTTTACTTTCCCCGTAAAAGTTATCCATCTCCCAAATGCATGGATAAATAACTTTTCTTTCCTACTTAAGAAGAATTTTATAAAATATAATGAGACAATTTTGCCTATTTTTATATTGATTTTTATGAATAAAAATATCATTGTTTYACTTAGTATTCTAAAAATTAAAAGAACATGAATGCAAATAAATATTAAGTGCACTTATCCATAGGTAAATATACTCATTAGACATTCTATTTCTCATTGCTTCTTTGAAAGCTCTACTGATTTCATTCAATACGATTCCGAATATTGACAATCATATCACCTAAGCATTTCCAGCATTAAGGTTTTGCCACAATATGCGCTAACACAATTGATACATAATCTTTTATACCCATGAAGCTTATCCAAACGCAAGCTAAGTTGAAATGTTAATCCTTCTGGTCCAGTTGGCTGTGTCTTTCGGTGGGGGTAGACCGACAACAATATCGGGTTCAAATTTCCTTCCATGCAATTCAGGAAATAGTGCCCAATGTTATTGGGAACTTGACTTTGAACTAGACTTTCTTGACTATAATCTTCTCGATTTCTCTGAGCTACAGTAATGTTCGTGAAATTTCACGAACACGTGTAAAACGAAGTGAAATTTTATCTCTGATTTTATTCACGTTTAAGACAAAAGTCAATAAAAGCAGGAGAATGACGGTTCAGCCCGACGTCAGAATTTTTAGGTCCAAAGTTACATTTGGGATAGGTGTTAGTTCCATATTGATGCTAATTTAAGTCTAAAGTTACATTTCCGTACTCAAGAAAAAAAAAAAAAAAAAACATTTCTTCCCCTTTCATGCATATGGATGTGCTTAGGTTGAAAGTTTTTGCCCTTATTGTAGAAATACCAAAATACCACTTACAAAAAAAAAACATAAAACATTCTTGGATGAGTATTTTGTAAAAAAYAATTTTATCACTAAATCAACAAAAAATACTTTATTAATTAACATTTCCATGGAATATATGAACCCACATTAATTAAATGAATTTAGGTTCAAAGTATAAATAAATATAAAAGTAAGAACCAAAGTTGATCATAATTTCTGAATGTTATATGATTTATGAAACATGATAACAAAGAAATGTTTTTTTTTATTCAGTTTTGGAATCAATAAATACATGACCAATAACCTATATTTAATATTTTTGTTTTAAGCGCTGATGTTCTTTTTAAAAGAAAGTGGGACCTTGCTTGTGAAGCACAGAACAATTAGAAAAAATGCACATGGGAGAGCCTCCTCCCGCCCAACAGTCTCTAGATCTGTTTGATGTTTACTGCTACAATACTGACATGTTGGAAAGCAACTTTGTTTTTTGGCTTCATACAATGCAATTTGGGGCTCAAGGGTAAATTAGACGATCTAATTCGGATTTGCTCCTTACAGCGCGTCTCGGATTTGCTCCTTACAGCGCGTCTCACAATACATTTCAGCCATACATTGGGAATATTATTCTATCATTGATAATTTATAAATATGGAAATGTTCCCAATAATACAACTGAAACGCATTGGTATTGTGGTGTTGGTGTGAGACTCATTCTGTAAGGAGTAAATCCAAATTCTAATTAATAGCCTTATCCCCTCTCCTCCCCATCTCCAATCCCCACCGGAACCTGCCAACCTCCTTAACTGCTTACATTCAGTGAAAAAATTTTAGGTCGTCTGTTAGTGTAGGGGGTTAAAATTTAAGCTCGTAAATTTTTTGGCACCTAATATGGCGATCATTCATTCTGGCTGTTAGATCAAAGCAAATCAAGGAATTGCACTTGCAGTTATTTTTGGGCATTCCTCGGTTTCTCTCTCCCGTTCAAGCTGAAGCAGTGGCTATTTTCAAAGGTCTGGAGATCGAGAGGAATCAAACTATTGTGCAGAGTGACTGTCTAATCTCATACAGGTTCTTCAAAGTGGAAATTCTTCTCTACCAAAGGGAGCCGTGTTCTTATGTCAAGGCATCTTGGAGTCTGTCAAAAACCTGTCTATAACTTTGAGTTTGTAAATAGAATTGGTAACTGTGTAGCCTATGAGTTGGCAAAAAAAATCCATCAGTCTCTTTTATTCTGAATATCCCTTTGTGGATTCAGAGCCTGGTCAGTCGAGAGACTCAAGACTCAAATAGACCTTGATATTTCTTCTGTATCTATCTATGTTGGCAGTTTTCCTGTTTAATATTATATCATTGTTTTACAAAAAAAAAAAAGCAAACAAATATCTTTTGTTATTGAGGGGAAAGAGGTTTATCGTAGCAGACCCTATATAGCTGGGAATAAGACTTAGATAATATATAATGATGATAGACACTTCAAATTAGTCTAATTTATGACCTTAAGATGGGTTTGAATTTGGGTCAAGTTAGCCCGAACCCAATCCAAAAATGTGGGGCTGGCTCAAGTCAGGTTACAGTTGAAAAGTATGAACCTGATTTAACTTTGTATTGGGAACATCTTCCATTAAGTCTAGACTTGCTACGTTTTAATTTGCTCTTGTTAATTATTTCTCAAATTTATTTTTTTCTTGATTTTTAAGGTAAAAGAAAAAGAAAAAAAAAGCTCTTCCCAATTCTCATGGCATTTGTAGCAAATGATCGTTAAAATGGAATATGCGACATAAAGAGAGGGGATGAACGACAATGCATGGGACCCATTTTGGCGGTTAGATCCATTTCTGGAATAAAGATAATTTAGCATGGTTTTCAAAATTGGACCAGACGAGACGGTCGGATTGGAAAAACTGGGAACCAATCAAGTGACCAGTTTCGTTTTCCCTCAAAACCATTGATTGGCGGTTAACCGTTTGAACGATTTTGACTGTTTTTATTTTTTTTTTTGAATTTTTCTGTCAAAACAGATTAAACATTCGATTCAAACAATAAGACCGTTCGACCCGATAACCAGACCCCTAACCAGTTCGATCACCGGATCGGTTTTAAAAACCATGTAATTTAGAGCGTGTTGCACCCTACATATATCCTACCACTATTGTTTCCAATTCCAACGTATAGAAGCATCTGACTCCTTTCTTGCAATCTGAATTGCCAAATGTGAGATCCTTGACCTTGAGTGACTGTCGAAAAACTTGTCCATTATACGCCCCAGAAAATCCCAAACCATATCCAAACAAGTCGAGCCCAATTTGGGCTTCACTCTTCCATAATTCCATTCTCTGAGGCCTGTGATTGTACAAAATGGCAATTATTACTTTATTAGGCCTTTCAATAAGCTACAAAAGTCCAGAATTCGATCCAAAACCCAATTTGATCTGATCAAGAGTCTTTTAATTTTACACGATGAAGCTGTATTTTTAAAACCTGCATCTATTTTTTAATCCCAAACTTTATTTCATTTAAATGGAGGAGTCATTAAACCCCAAGTTTTAGAACGCTTGAGTTGGCCCTAATAACCTTGGACGATGCTTGAGAGTTAATAATTGGGAGGGCATAGCTGAAGGTTTAGCAGATTTGAAGAAGCACTTTGGACAAGATATTTAAAGAGGGTGGCAGCTCTTATATTATTAAAAAAAGAAAGAAAAACAAAGCACTTTAATAACCGGTTAGCATGCAATTTTCACTAAATATATATTTTTTTGAAAGAAATTTTTTCACTCTTGGTATGATCAAACGTTTATAAAACTTTTAATATATAGTGTATTACAAAATATAATTAGTTTTAGTTAAATTTCAAAAAAAAAAGTAAAAAATAAATTTACAAGTGAAAATGATTGAAACAGAACAGGATAAATTCAGAGATCCCGGTTCCCGCGGGGAAGGATGACTGAGATTTCTAACTCCGTTAAGATAAAGGGCGGAATATTTGAATTCCGAATCAAGGACGGGGCATACAAAACCCGGCCCCACCCGTTTAATATGCTACATCTTGTACATATGGAGGAGGATTAATTAGCAAGCACAGTTAATGGGCCCCATTCAGGAACAGGTCCAGTGGTCCGCACCAATGATCGCCATGATTGCACGACTTCAGCCATCAGATGCTGTGCCTCCTGCTGTTCGTTGAAAGGGACTATACTTGCTTAATTAGTATTTAGTAACACGTAGCAGTTTAAGCAGTAGCACCGAAAGGCTCCCTTTATTGCTCACAAGTTCTAATTCAATATCCTCTTACCATGCTGCAAATTTTTGGCAAAAAGAAAAAAAAAAAGGTTTTCAAATTAGTCGTAAAAGTGGGCTTATTTTGTATATATATTGTGTTTTGGATCCAAATTAATTTCCATGAATTAGGTGGGAAGATGTGATCTTGGAAATTTTTTGTGTCTTAAAATTTTTGCCACGTGTATGACACCTTGGCCGTTCAAAAAAGCCCACTAGAGAAGTATTTATAAAGCACCTTTTGCTCTATGTATCAGATATTAAACTGATAAGAATAGATTCTACATCTTAGCCAAAAGGCCGAGGTATCTTTTGCTCTATACATGGAATAAGAAATAACAAGGACAATTAGTAGAGGTGAAACTCGAGTTGGGTTCGATTGAAGATTGGATTAGGATTAGGGTTGAATTGGCGTGGGATAGAGTTGATGCCTTGCATACCTAAAGGCCAAAGCTAATGTTTTGTTWTAAAAAATATTAGTCTAATATGGTGTATACGTAAAATTTACATACACAATCAAACCCTCTCCAGAGTGGGTCTGGAGAGGGTTTTGTAAAGTTTAATCCATACCTTTCCCAAAACGTGTGGCAGATTGAATTTTCAAAATCTCTTCATACATTAAAATGCAATAAAAACCCTCCCTGATTCTGTCCCCTTGCATTTAAGGGTAAGTAAGTGAATTGGGTCCGCATATTTCCTATCTTTTCTTGTTATATATAAATAATAAATAGGTAAAATAATATAAATAAACATCAAAGTTTTCAATTATTTGATTAAAACATGTAAAAAATATATAAACTATCAATCATCCTTTATATAAAATTCAAAATATTATTAAATTCAGCATCTAATATTTATATGTCCTCCAACAAAATCTATTTTTCAAACAAAAATCCAAAAAAACACGTAAATCCWTGTGGGTTTTTGAATTCAACACTTAATACATAAAATTCATATTATTAAAGTTCATATTGCCTTCCATACCCTACCTGTACTATAAGGGTTGTAAAAATCTAAAATCTGTTTTTCAAGCAAAAAAAAAGGGCGGATAGCCACCGGGTAGAACAGGAATTGCAATCCCTACTTAAGCCAACTTGGCCCAAATTACACCAACAATTAGTGGGGGAAAAAAGAAAAAAAAAAAAAAACTTAGGTTGTGTTTGTTTGCGATACAAATCTGAACTGGATCCACTCTGGTTTTGCATTCATTTGTTTAGGAATATGATTTGCACTCTTAATTCTGCATCTGAAAAATCAGTGCAAAATTTACACCACTCTGTACCTTAAGCCTCTCTCGTGGACACATCAACTTACTTTCTACCTTATTCCCCAAATAAATAGCCTTTTTCTCTTCTCATTTATTTTTCATAAAAATTGTTGATTTCATAATTTTACTTCCTATACTTCTTACAAACAAACAAAACAAGGTCAAGTATAAAGCAAAAATATATCAAGAATACATAATTTTGCACTCTACATATTTGTATATTTGTACTGCAATTAAACGGAGGCTTAATGCATCAAGGATTTAGGGTCCTATATTGATAGAAAAATGGAGTAGCAACAAACCCGTTTCTTCTAATAACAGAGCTTAATTTGTTTTTGTATCACATATCATTCAGTTAGAACTCTGCATTCTCAGGTAAAGACACACAAGATTAAAATGGATGATTTTTCATCTGGCTACCTCCAAAGTTGAATTTTATTTCCAACAGAAAAATTATGGAAGCGGGAGGACTGAGGAGTGAGGAGTGGTACCTTTTAATACCCCGCCTACCGCTATCAACGGTCCGGGTCAACTCAATAGGCCTGAACCGATGCCGAGAGAAATGCTAAAATCATAGATTAGTCCACAACATCTTTCTTTGCATAATTACATATGACCGGTCTATCAATGATCAATGATCAATGATCAATCCTCCTCCCCTCTCTCTCATCTCGGTCTTTATATAATCCTTTCCTCTTTCTCTCTTCTTCTATCTCTGAAGCTCAACTTCCGTGGTCGCTATTAACTCCACACCCAAAAAACTCACTCCCATCTTTTCTCTCATTTTTCTTGGCTACCCTGACCCCGCTCTCAAAATGGAAACTTTTTCTTACCAAGACCCCTTTTTTCTGCTTGATTCCGTTATCCTTCCAAATACTCCCATTAAGACGCCTGGTTCATTCGAGTTTAGAGACATCAATACCACCTATTTTCCTCGTTTTCCACTCCAACCTCTCCATGAGGTTTCAGTTGATGCTGGAAGCTCTGCAGTTGAAAGAAGAAATGCCTTTCGTATTGATACTGAGAATTCCGTGTGCGGGAAACAGAAGACATATTCTTCATCCAAGGTTGTACGTGTTGAAAGTGGCGATCAGGTCATTCAGACCGAGACTCAGAAAATGGACAAGAAAAGGAGGAAAAACAGAGATGGGTTCAGCTCCAACTCTGCTCAATCCAAGGTAGATCCAGTCAAATTTTTGGAACCAGCAGTGGGGTTCTCTTGGTTTCCTGAACTTCTTTCCTTCTTTCCATATTTTACTCCTACTGTGTTGGTTGAATTCAACAGTGCTTAACATTCTTTGTATCGTCTGTGTAGGATGTAGAAGAAGGTAAACGCAAGAGACAGAGGAAATGCAACAGTGCATCGAAAAAAACAGAAGAGAAGACGAAATGCGATAAGAATGACGAGAAGAAAGTGGCTGAAGAGCCCCCGACTAGCTATGTTCATGTAAGAGCAAGGAGGGGTCAAGCAACAGATAGCCACAGCCTTGCAGAAAGGGTACGAACATAACAACCTCTTACAAGAGTTCAAGTTCCAATTACTTGTTTAATTAATCCATATATCTCAATTATGCTTTTACCCAAAATGTATCCAGGCAAGAAGGGAGAAAATCAGTGAGAGAATGAAGATGTTGCAAGGTCTTGTCCCTGGTTGTGACAAGGTCATCAAACTAAGCTCTTTAGTTCGTTGGGAAGAAATACTTAATTAATTCTTTCTTCTTCTCTGCTCTCGGACAGAGATAAATTGTTTCTAACAGTTTGATGTGATTTGGGTGCTAACAGATAACTGGTAAGGCTCTTATGTTGGACGAGATAATCAATTATGTCCAGTCCCTACAGTATGAAGTTGAGGTAGTAATTCCTTCCATACAGAGATTAGATTCAATGCAATGCTTTATAGTATAAACACTTATGTTGGATTTCCTGTTCTGCTTCTGCAGTTCCTCTCCATGAAGCTTGCATCAGCTTGTCCAGTTTTCTATGATTTTGGAGCCGATCTAGATATTTCCCTGCCAAAACCAGAGGTGGAGACTGGAGAGACCTCTCTCTTGGACTAGTTTCATTTCTATATTCCATTCCTGGAACAGTTTTTCTTTTTCGTTGATACTTCATAATCGTTGTTATTGCTTCCCTGATGACTGACTGATGAGCAAGTTCTCTGCTTCTCACATGAAACTTCAGAACCCGAGTAGCCAGACGTTACCACTGTCATCAGAGCAAGCGCAAGTATGCTGCTCCACGCAGCCCACAACTTTTGTGGCTGCTACAACTACCCTCGACACGACAAATAACTACCTAATCCTGGACAGTTCTGTGGATTGTTTACTTCAACCAGGACAGAAGCTCAATGCCCATGTCTTCTCTCAGGTATCAGATCAGATGAGGATTACCCATTTAACCCTCATATTTGTGATTTGTTCCCACACTTAAGTTTACTAACTTTCACAGTCCAACTCCAATCTCTTCAGGGTAATGGAAATTCATTATGGGATGATGCGGAAAACCAGATTCAGAAGTTTACTACTCAACCGGGGTTCAATACTTTTCGTTGTTTCCAGCAAGATTAGTATAAAACAAACCTAGCTACAGGCATTTGGTAAGTCCTTCCTGTTGAGTTTAAAAAAGACACATGTGAAATGACTTTTTTTGTATCTTTTCTTCTTTAATCCCTGTTTCTAACTTGCTTCTTTTCTGATTCGGTTTGTGTTTACAGTTTGTAAAAAAATTTCACAGTGGTAGCAGACTAGCAAAGGAAGAAAGCTATGAAAGCCACATGGAATCAAAGCCTTTTTCCTTTCACAGTAAGAAGTCGGAATTGATTGGACCCGTTCTATGTGCAATGAACAGAAAAAAGCTAGATGATTGTAGATCCCCTTGTCGCTGTCCAATTGATGACCCCACTCGACGTGAAGCACAGAAAATCCCCACTCCAGACTCTCAGTGGTAGCTTAATAAGGAACGGGGAGTACAGTCTACTTATCCCAAGTAAATAATATATATTTATGTAATAATTTTTTTTAATTAATGGTATTTATGTAGTAATGACAACATTGATTTGTTCACTCCTGATTTGTCCCGTAGCCCGGTATGCACGACTATGTTCGTAGCCCATCCGAGCGATTCTCGTATTTAATTTCTTGCTGGCTAACAGCCTAACACCATTCTTTTTCCACAATAACAAAGCCGCATTTTTTGGAAGCCAACAAGACCCCTTCTAGTGTAGCCCTTCTGTAAAAAAATAGAACATTCAAATTATGCCTTCAGAACCCAGAATGATATTTTATTTCTTCAAGGCTCTGTTTGTTCCGTTGCGGTAGAGGTGAAAAAAATTAAAAAAAAAATCACAAATTGTTTCAATGTTTAATTTCTGTACCAACGAAAGGCTGTAAGTACATTTACATGGAACCGAATGCAATGCACAATTAGGGATGCTCACTGTTTGATTAACTGAACTAGGTCCATTTTTCAAATCAAATCAGTATCATTACTTCATTAGTTTTTGGAAAACCACAAACTGAAACTTAATCAAAACCAATCGATTGATTTGTTTGATTTTTCAAAAAATATTGAACCGATTGATTTAATGAACTAGAATTTTTTATTTAACCTCATCAGTTTGATTCAATTTTTTAGTTTTTGATGAACACCTCTACCTTAGATGTTGGTAAGTAAGGGTGCACAAACAAGTTAAATATCGATTTGGAATTTAATTCGAATTTGAAACTTGCTTACCCTGGCTTCGGGATGCCCGTTTTTTTTTTTCATTATTAAGCATACTTTTGGTTTGAGCTAACATTGATGCGATCATCGCCTTCGATTTGATACAACTTCGTTAATTATTTTTCTATTATGATTTAGGTTAAAGGCTAAGGTCACTAATAAATTGGATTAAAATCTAATTCTTTTAAGTTGGATTTGGATATGCTTAGGCATTAATTACAAAATCAATGGGAAATTTGGAATTGAAGATATGATTCATTTATTGATCCAATCGAATTCATATATTGTTTGATTCTCTCAAGGAATCATTTTACCTTAAAAGCTTAAACTGTTGTATGCTCTTTAACAAACATTTCTAGGGATCTCAAGGAATTATTTCAATTGTATTTTTCTAACACATTTTGAAGATCTAAAACACATTAATTTAAATTAGGAAATTGTTTTATAGATTATAAGGTGTCATTTTTCCATTTAAAAAAAAGAAGAAAATTAAAATCAACTTGTAAATAAATTTTAAACTTTAAGGCTATAGAGTTAGAAGTCAAAAAGTTACAAGAATACTTTGTATATATGCAAGGTATAATGAACCGATAAGACCAATCAGTCAAAACCGAAACCCGACTTTGGTTGAAGAATCAAAACCTAACCCCATAGGGTCAGGTTGATCCTAACCTGACCCTATCGGGTCAAGTCAGACTTACTATTTAACCCGATCCATTGACATCCCTATGCATTCCTTTAAGCAAAAGTCCATTGGTATGATTGGATCTGTGGTTATCCAGCTTAAGTTCAACGAGTTTTTGTATAAAGGGCATGCTAGAATAAAAATCTATTTGAGGAGCTCACATAGTATATGTTTGGCATCGAGTTGCAGCATCGTTTTCTATTTGAGGAGCTCACCTAGTATATGTTTGGATCTGTGGCTGTCCAGCTTAAGTCCAACGAGTTTTTGTATAAGGGGCATTGCTAGAATAAAAATCTATTTGAGGAGTTCACCTAGTATATGTTTGGCATCAATGTTGTAGTTGAAAAAACGGTGCTGCTGATGTGTGGGTTGGAAGAGAAAACGATGCCATTTTTGTTTAGAATCGTTGCTGCCAGGTAGGACATTTTCTGAAGCAACAACAACTTTTTCTGTTTGGTACCAATGCTCCAAGAAATGTTTTCTGCACTTCTACCCATTATCCAGTGTCACATCATTGCCCCTGTTGGCAACAACGAGTTGCAGCTGGAAACGCTAAATTTGGCGTTGCTCCAAGCCATGCCTTCCCGATTTCTAAGGTGTGACTTGGAGTACCGTTTTCTATGGAAAAAGCGGTTCAAAATAGATGTTTTTTTTTCCTGGAGCACCATTTTTTCCTATGTGACACCGTTGCTCTAAGAAACGACAACAATGTCAAACAGCCGCCTAATAACTTTGAATGGTTTCTTATATTCAACTTGGCCGTGTTCAATCTAATCCAATCTGATATACATGTATGAAAGATCATATTTTTATAGTATATGTTTCTTAGTTTTACCTTAGTTTTACATTTTTTTTTTAATTTATGCTAATTTTATGCAAATTGGATGATATTCTATAATATTAGATTTGAACCGGATATCCAAATATGTAAACAATAAAATTCCAATATAAGTTTAATATATCTATCACCTATTGAATCTTATTTAGATCTTTCAAATTCTTAATTATAGAATTTGATTTGGATATGCCTCTATACGAATTCAGTCTAACTAAGCCTACAACTTGTATCAAACAACAAATTGCTAGAAATACAAACTAGTTAATAAATAGATTAGATTATGATGGAGCTCTTCAAAGAGAACCAAAAAAAAAAAAACGGGATTATGGGGTTATGCTCATTCGATTTAAAATTAAACCCATTGCATTAAAAAGGCCTTTTACACAAGAAGATGTTGGAAGTATATTATCATAGACTATGGTTTCATAATTTAGCTTGTAAACATTTGACAAAAACCATTAAGTTGAAATTATTTTTGATTGTTGATGGAGGAAGATTTGGCCCGACCTTTTGACCACTCAACACGTGGAAATAATCGAGGGTGACCTTGTAGGAGCAACAGCTCGGCACGGCAGTGTGCTCAAGGCGCGAGCTCCGAGAGGAGGAACCAGCGGTCCGAGCTCCCCAAAAAGAGCCCGAACTCTCCCTTTGACCCCAAGCCTTACGAGGAGCGCAAAGGGCAACAACCCAAACTGGCCCATCCCAGGGCAGTTCGGGCCACACTTCTATCCGAACTCAAGACTTCATCTCGCACACCACTCTGGCACTTCGTCTCCAGGCCGCAGAACTGAACAATCGTACTTGACACCAAAGGAGTCCGTATCCTGAGGCGGCGCACCTGACTGACTTAGGATTTGACGCTTGACAGCCGCACTTCAACGACCACCTACCACCGCCACCTCCAATTACAGAGACGGCTCCAACAAAGAGAGCAATGGCGGTTGTCTGCCCTAGCAGAGGTGATGACACGCGAACTGGCAGAAGTGCAGAGGTAATGATACCCGACCTGATAGAAGCTTGGGAGTGAGTGCGCGAAGTGGTTATAAAAAGCCCTCTTCCCCCCAAGAATAAAGGTACATGATAACTTTGCGCCATATGGTTTTTTATCTTGCCTTTGAGAAAATACTAACTTGATTAACTCCGACAAAAGGGAGCAGTGCGGTTCTGCCCCAGCAGAGGTGATGACACCCGAACTGGCAGAAGTGCAGAGGTAATGATACCCAACCTGATAGAAGCTTGGGAGTGAGTGCGCGAAGTGGTTATAAAAAGCCCTCTTCCCCCCAAGAATAAAGGTACATGATAACTTTGCGCCATATGGTTTTTTATCTTGCCTTTGAGAAAATACTAACTTGAGCTTTGGAGCACTCTCACTGGGTTTCTCCCCAGAGACTACTCGCTTTCTTCCCCGTTTCAGGCACCTTTTGCTCCAGTTAGAGGCAAGATCGTTGACAACTAGGACTGACCGGATTGCGCTCCATCAATTGGCACCATCTGTGGGAAACGCGTCTAAAAGCCTCCCTCTAAAACTTTCATAGCACCTTTTTTCCAAGAAACCCCAACACCCATGGCTTCTTCTAGCAATGTAGCACAGAGATGAACGCCACCGGGGAACAACTCCAAGTCCCCATGGTGTGCATCGGACAGTTCACCATCCCCCTTCCGGTGGATGGGATCCCCAGCCTAAATGCGCCACGAACAGTGGCGCCCGTGAATCTTCCTGCCATAAACGTCCCCCTTCCTCCCTCTGTTGGGACCACCTTTGCTGAACCAACCATTGTTCCCCCGGCAACTAGCCAGAACCAGCTCGATGACCTGGTGCATGACATGCGGGCCATCCAAGCCCAAATGCAGTAGCCAGGAGCAGTTCCCCCAACTGCCTCAAACTCAGCTCCCACCTTGGCACCCCGCCGTTAGGCGAGCCAAGCCCTCCCCTCAAGGCGGACGCCCCCACCAGGAGGCTTCCCAAGCTCGGGCCTCCCTGGCTCAAAGCCCCTCTAGAAGCTAGGCTTCATTCCCTGGCAGGAGAGAGAGAGCGGCTGGCCCCGCCTCGTCGTGCGCCGGCAGACCAGGAGCCCGATCCATCAAGTCAGCATCACCCAGGCGCTCTCAGGACGGGCCCCTGCACACCGGAAACCGGTTCAACGCCTTAGCCGCGGACTACCTCCAGCAGTCCAGGCCCATCGAGCTCGGGAACACCGAGGCAAGCAGTGCCAACGCCGGGCCTTCCAAGCAGTAGAGGCGCCGCCGGCGAAGCCGCCGAACTGCAACTCGCATCTTGCCCGAGCCCCGAGGTGAAGAAGAGAGCTCGGACGAGGTAAAGGCTACCCCTATTCTCTTAGTCCCTTCCCCCCTGTCATAAGAACTCCTTGTAGTTCCTATGCCCAGAGACTTCAAACCCCCCCCCACTCGACAAGTATGATGGGTCCTTTGACCCTAGCGACCATGTCGATGCCTTCCAGTCCCAGATGCACCTGGCTAGGGCTAGCGAGTCCTGTATGTGCGTAGCCTTCGCTACCACCTTCAGAAGAGTGGCTCGCACCTGGTACAGGAACCTAGCCCCTGGGTCAATAAGGAGCTAGGCCCAGTTCGTGCAGGTCTTCACCGCGCACTTCGTCACCAGCAAGTGGTGCCCCCGAACCGAGGAGAGCCTCCTCGGCGTGGTCCAAAAGGAAGGGGAGCCCATCCGCAGCTATATCAAGCGGTTTAACGACGCATGCCTACAGATCCCACGCCTGGACCCCGCAGTTCAGCTCGCGACAGCCAAGATGGGGGTGACACACAAGGAGTTCAAGTGGCACATAGTGGTCAACCAGCCCGCGACCATGGCTGAGTTCCTTAAGCTCGCGGACAAGTTCATGCGAACGGAGGAGGAGATCAACCAAAGGACTGGGGGCGGGTTTGAAAAAAGGAAGAGAGAAGAACTCTCTAATCAAGGAGACAGCCGGAAGGATCCATCTCGGGCGCTGAAACCAAG